CAAGGCTGCTGCCTAACGGGCGCCCGGTCGCCAGAGGCGCCCAAGGTAAGAGCATGGGCGACCAAATTTCGGTACAAGGAGCCCGCGCGGGCGCCTGACTTAACACACGGCATTAGACTTAACCTCCTTGTACATTATATTCCTTTAGCTGGAGTAGGACTTTAAACAGTGGAACTGTTGATATGGTTAGCGATGATGCGATTAGGCAGTATAAAATTTCCACAAATAAACCGTAAATTATGTAAACCTAACGTGTTCAACTGTGAAGCTTTGTCGAAACGAACGAAGCCATCGTTTCCGAGTCCGGATGGCAGTTGAAGACTGGGTCTGAGATTTGACTTCCAAATATGGAATAGCAAAATTATGGGCTGTTTGTTGCCTATGTTGACATTCGTGCAGTTCATCGTTTGCTTGGGTTTTCGTCGATTTGATAACTTTTTTGTGGCGAGAATGGGAAGCTATCTTGCGTGCTATCGACTGGACGTGCTTGATGTTCGATTTCATGTACCAGTTTGCAACGTATGAAAGTAAATAATTCGGTTAATTCTTGTTTACGTGTTATTTATTAGGCCCGGCGAATTCTTATTAAAGTGTGCAAGAACCTCTATAACCTATGTAATGATCTTGGAAAAACAATACATGGATTTCAAACTGGGCTCCTAACAATGTGGCTCGGGCTCCTAACTTTAAACTTTAGGAGCCCGAAGGGCTCCCTAAAATTTTTCTTAGGCAGCAGCCTTGGCTTGTAAGCTTGGAGGGCTGTGACAGGGTGACTGACATAGACTGCACTGAGTGTACTTGCAGCGGACAAGTTGTAAGGCAACAGGTTGTTGTGATAATGCTTGTCAGGTATGGACAAAGGAGCATCAAGAAATAGTCGCTGTCATTGCCATACAAGTCCGGGGTACCAGCAACAACTTTAAAATAAAAAATATAACACAAAAATTGAATTTATTATAATATTTTTATTATGACATACTTATTATCACTATATATTTTTCTTCTTATCTTACCAATCTTTGCCAACACTATTATAATTGAAAGCAGTTAGCTCTATTATAAAAACACTCAATGACCAATTGTATATGTCGGAGGTAAAAATAAAATCTAGGTAGGTTTTTTACCTTCAAATTCATTTGTCTCCTAGCCCTAACCCATGAATAATTAAGGCTACGAGACAAAGGAAATAGAGAATTGACCAAAGTTAAAATTTTACCTGAATTTAATTGTGACCTAGAACTCTGTGTAACATTAAATAATAATTTTTACAAGTAAAAACAAAACAGTGTATGCATACCTCTTAATTGCTGCCATTGTGGGAGAGACTGCAAGATAAGCAACTTTGCATCTGCATATAGGCCATCATCTATGAGCTTGAGGGATGTCCCCTATTATGTGAGCTGACTCTGAAAGGTCACTGAGCTCCACCTTGTGTGATTTGGTCAGAGCCTGAAAATCATCAGCCAGTTATCCAAGGGACAAGTATTGGTACTCGTCAGTCCACCCCAAGGAAAGACAGTCGGTTCCTATCCTAGCCTTGTTCAGAAGCACATTTACTAGAACTGGAAACAACACTGGCGGCTGAGAGGAGAGCCTCTGCAGCATCAATTTCGTCTTGGCAGTATAAGCTCGGTTGGATAGACTCTTCAACCAATTCAGATTCTATGGTTCCGCACAAGGCAGGATATGACACAGGTGAACATGCTGCAGGTGTTACAGGATCCATAGTAGCAGTGGGAGATGTGCATTCAGGGGCTGCAAATTGTTCTACAGACTCAAAAGAAGAAGTACATGTGGTAGGGTCTCCAGGTATTACAGCACAATCAGGTGATTCAGAAAGAGACCGTTTGGAGGAATACAAGCTGTCTGCTGGCTCATCTAAAACAAATGGTAAGAGATTCCTAGGGACACGCATTTCAAAGACCTCGGGCAATAACAAGCATCCACAATGCTGTCGGAAAACACAAAATCTTCTTAATGAGAGGCTCATCTCTTAGAATCCTTTTTACTGAATCAGGGCCACTTGCTGCATGAAGAATAAGTAATGGATCGCGTAAGAAGGAAAGGGGCGAAACGCACCGCATGTGCAGAACGATCCATTTTAATTGAATTAATTACTTAATTTCCGCCACACTCATTGGTCAAAAACATTATTTTTACCATAAATCACGAAGAATCACAATTTCGGCCAAAACTAATGCCTTTTATGGTAGATATCTTATTGTTCCAACTCTCAGGCGATTTGTATGTGCGGAAGTCGGTTTTCCGAAGTTAGGTTTGTTCTGACTTGAATGGTGGCCATTGTTACCGATCTTCACATACTGCTTTCTCTTAAAAAATTTCGT